ATACCCAATTGTGCACAGTGGCACAATCAGGCATGAGCTCTTTGCATGCTTGAGACATCCAATCTACATTGGGTAGGTACAGTATTTACACCCAATTGTGCACAGTGGTACAATCGGGCATGAACTGTTTGCACACAACTGCAAAATCAGGTGTTGATCTAGCTGTTTCAGCAAAATAAACTTGGTGGAGATAATGTAGTGAGTTTATATACACATATAAATGACAGCACAGTTATTCCGCTTAGCTGCATACAAGCTGTTGTTGACCAGTAAAGCTTGCTGAACAAGTTGCAAGTGGATGGATCTTTTACAACACTGAGTGGTAAGGGCATTTTTTTTGGTGGGAAAATTGGTTTGAAACTGATGAAACAAGAACCCATCTTCCCACAATCTTCAAAAAGGAAAGACAAGACAAAACTTGAAGACTTTTCCTCAGTTTTTTGCCCTGGATGACCAAGATAAAACTTGGAGGTCGTGGCATGATTTTTCCTTTCATTTTTGGTGTAGACATTATTGTCTTTTATCCTTGCTTGTCAACGCTGAAAAAACATGAGTTGTTACTGCAAATAATTTCACCCAAAATGTGGCCTAAATAGGCTATCTTATATCAGATTTTCTTTGCAGAAAAACTAAAAGCGACTCTTCGGGTGTCAAACCACCAGACAATTTAGTGTACAATTCGGAGTTTAACCACAAATGTTACCGGAATTTTGGACTCCTTTTTCCCAGGTCAACAAACGTAGAGAAATGGAAGTGACAATCCTGAGCTCTGGCCTGAATTTTCAAAGCCAGATAAATCCAGAATAAACTAGGTATCAGTTTGATCTTTGCTTTTCCTCAGCCGTAGCAAACAATAAAACACAATGAAACACAATGGCAAATGGCGAACAGAGACAACCTATGCTGTGCATGCAGCGAACAGAGACAACATTCACGGCCTGAAAGACTCCTTACACGGCTCCTTACAGTCACCCCAGACTAACGTCTCCCCAGAAGTAGCCCGCATACTACAAAAGCTCACCAAGCCAGTGAGGGGTTTAGGGTTTAGGGTTGGGGGGAGCCGAGCCGAGCGAAGCGAGGCGAGGTGACGTTGCTGAGGTGAAACTGGAAGGCGAAGGTCCGAACTCTGTGAGGAGTTCCGGAGGCTTTCGTGGTGACACTCATCAGCGCATTCCAGGAAGTACTTATACCTTGCGCCATGGGACCCCGGGGAGGGGCAGTACCATGGACACCGCGTGCCGAAGCCGAAGCCGTCGGACGGGTGCGTAATGGGCATTATGACTATCCGCGGTGTGATTGGCCGGCCCTCGGCAAAATCGGCGGACGGAGTCATTCTAACCTTGTAAGAGGCTCGGGCATACTATATGGGGATGGTCAGCAGGACCACTTTGATGCGACTTAAGACCGGTTAGCGCGGTCAAAAGATGACGTATGTATGACGTCATAGTCACGTGGTGGATCCAGACCGTCGGGGGACCGCCCGCTGATGGCCGTAAGGCGCATCACCGACGTCGGCCCGACGTTCGTGGGGCGGGATGATCCGCCATCACCGCCCGCCGCCATCAAGCGCATCAGATGCGCCCGATAGCCGCCGGGACAATAAGCACCTCGGTCGGCGCTATTTCTGGGTTATGAGGACTAGTAGGGGTCGGCAGGGGTCGAATTAGACGCCGCTCCATCCACAAGTGCTCATTAGCACCGGTGTGAGAGAGTACGCGCTCTGGGCGGATATTGTGCACCGACTCACTTGCCCAGATGCTGTACACATGCATCCACAAGAACGCACACGCTCTGGGCGGACACTATGAACCGACTCGCCACAGCGCTGTGGTCTGGATTAGTGGCCGACATGCACATGCTCTGGGCGGATACCATCTGCCCAGTCACTCACCGCGGCGATGTGTACAGCATCTGGTGATGGGCACATGCTCTGGGCGGATACCGTCTGCCCAGTCACTCACTGCGGTGACGTGTACAGCATCTGGTGATGGGCACACGCTCTGGGTGGATGCCGTGCACATAGTCACTCACCTCTGGCGCTGTGCACAGCATCTGGTGACAGGCACACGCTCTTGGGGGGGTACCGTGCGTTGCTTGACGCTCAGAGTGTTTCAAGAGAGGTATCCGCTCAGAGCGTGTAGACAGAGCACAAGGGTGTGCGCCTCGCGCTCTGGGCGGATGCCGCAAGTGTGCAGCAAAAAGTATCCGCTCGTGTCGTGAGTACTCGCGCAGGGGGGGGTGCGCGTGTACTCGGGCCCCAGCGGTTCTTGCTGGTTGAGTACGCGGGC